CTATTAAAAGTTCAAATACTATGACAATGTTTCAGGTAAACTTTTTTTTCTACCTGACTTTATTTAATCATTAAAATTTTTTTTGAGTTTTATTTAAAAAACCAGCTGAAATTATTTATGCAAAATGAGAAAGATCATTAATATGAATTCAGTTTAATCATTGTAAATTTTCATTATGTTAACAATCGTATAAACATATTGGATGATATAAATATCAAATGAAAACAAGAGGATAAAAATTATGAGGAGCTGTGATAATTAGTCATAAATGTTATATTTAACTTCTTCTCAAAATCTTTCTTATAAAGGATAATAAAGAAATAGCTCAATTACAGTTTTAATGAATGAATGATTCATATGAAAATTTAATTTAATTTAATAAAACTTAATGATGTATGTTTTAATTGAGACTTCAAAATTGACAAAAAAAAAAAAAACGAAACTAATTGGCTCATAAATTTAAATTTCGTGAATAATAACGAATGCAAACATTTAGCATTTTATATTATTTTTTTTCCCTATCAAAATAAAAAGGTTAGCAAAAAAGTTTTCTCTCTTTTTATACATAAATTTTGGACAAATTTACCATAATTATCTCAAATAGCTTAAATAAGATTTATAACTTTAATTTATGATTTTTAATTTATTTATGATTTTCTAAATTAGTGAATATTTAATTGGAAAATTTTTTATTTAATTTTATTTAATTAATTGGAAAATTTTTTATTTAATTTAAATTTATTTATTTAATTTAATTTTTTTATTTAATTTTTATTTAATTGGCCAATTAACTTTAAAGTCAACTGTAAAAAATATATATTCTCAATTTGTTGTCAATATTTTTATCAGTTTTATGCGGGAATTTTTGTTGGTAATTGCGACGATTTTTGTATCAAAACATGATTTGTATTTGTCGCTGAAATTGCAAGGAGAAGCAGTAAATCGAATAATTGCTTTAATACTGCTGATATATAATATACTGTGCTATGTAAGCTAATATTGTGCGACCATTGCGCCTATGTGCTCCATAAAGGCGGTAATTATGATCATAGATATGACCTCAGAGTTATGCCAGAATCTCTCTAATCCAGGAAGAAGAAGGTCTTGAGCGTCAAATCATTTCAAAAGACACATTTCAACAGGTACGGTTAGTTAGACGATATCGGATATCATTTGGTCTATGATTTCCTGTTTTGTTCTTATTGATATTATTATTGAATTTGTCTTATTGATATTGTAATTGTTGAATTCGTTTCTGTATTAATCAATTCATAGGAATAAAGGTTTAATTACTCAACTCTGAGACACTATAATTAAAGAGGCTGAAAGAACCCTCAGTTTTTGTCACGATTGAAGAAAATTGGTGACAGTGTTAAATAATAGCTTATGTAAATTTTGACATTATCACTTTAAATTTGCTAAAACAAAATGTCATTTTCAGTCAAATGGACGATACCTTTTATTATGATGTAAGTAATTATTTTAAAAGAAATACGAATATACCTTATTGGACAAGCTAAGATCTCTCCTGTTGTAAGTTTACATTTTCATTTGAAGTCTATTGTGTGTATTTTTCCTATTATTATCAATATAATAAAGTATTTTATAATCCATTTCCATAAGCATTCATATAACAGCTAACGCTTTTCAAATTACATGCTAATTACCTTAATGAAGCTTCTTAATGACTAATTACCTTAATGAAGTTTGTTAATAACATCTTGCTGAGTGGGGAATAATAATTCCTGTATGGTTTAAAAAAGTCCATATAATTTATGTGATATTATTGAATGATATTGCAATAATTAGTTCTAGTTACATCACTTCACATGATGCTAATGTAAGATGAGCCGAAAGGGAATTATCCGAAAAAAAAGTTACTATTTGATTTTTAAGTGAATTCAAATTTTTACATTAAATCTCGGCTAAAGTTTAAAATAATCGGGACAACAGTTACGTGAATTAGTATTCCTACGTGATATAGAAGATTACGTGATATTTTAAATTGAATAACTTTTTCTAACATGAACAGATATTATCATTTTCAGCCAAATGAACGACTCTCTTCATTTTAACATCAGTAACTACTTCAACAGTACTGTTAGCTGCTAGTTTGTACCTTCCGACATGTATAAGCCTAGGTCTGTCATGCCGTAAGTTTATAATTATAATCCAATTTTATTATTACTCATACATAATTGATGAATTCTTGATATGAATCCAATATTAACAGTTCCACAAATTTTTTGATTGAAATCATAGCATCTATGGAAGGATTCATTTTTATAAAGTACTAATTTCAATCTTCCATTTATTCTTCTAAGAAATTGTAGAAATTAATCATTTGATAACATTTTTCCTGATAAAATGATAGGGAAATTTTTATCAATAGGCTATTTTTTTTAAAAAAAATTTCAAAATTTTGATTGACTTTTAAAAAATTCGATGCATAACGAAATATTATTTCTTCAAGTAAGATAAGCGATATGAATTGATTTCAAACCAATTTTAAATGAAACAATTCTTTTGAAATTAATGTTCAGAAATAGTTTTATTTTATTTTAAAAAATTTAACAGTCTTTTTGGCTAATTTTTTACATCGTATAAGATTATAAATATTGAGTGATAATTTTAGGCAACATATCATCTGCTCTTTACGACTATCCGCTAAATACTTAATAAATTCTTATTGCATGAAATGAAAAACTTCCAGCAACTTAGTTAATATGAGTGATATTTAGTTTTCATTTTATCTTTCTTATCAATTCTTTCACTTTACAAACTGCCTTATCAGAAATCAGTAATTTGAATTCGTTATCTATATTTTAGTATAGGTCGTTTAGGTCGATAAAATTTCCAAAGCAAATGACTCGAATTGAAATTGATGATGAAATATATTTTTTTGACAATATTTTGAATCCTAAACCTTCGTATAAAAAATCTGAAACTACATCAGGCGATGCATATATTTACATATAGATAAGCTATGAGAAGGCCAAAAGATGATCAAATTAATGTTGCATGAAAATTTTACAGTAAATAAAATATTAACATATATTAAAGATTCTATTTCATCTTCCTATATTTACAAAAAATATTAATTTATGATAAATTTTTTTTGTCATAATATATTTATTATCTGTAAGTATGCATTTTATTGTAGTTTATATGTAAATTATTGCTAGAAATGGAAAAAAAAACTACAAAATTAAGGGAATGTGCAACACAATGACAATTATCATTTCAGTTTAATATAATTTCAATTATTTGTTATTTTTTATAAATTTATCATTTTTTTATCACTTGAACACCTTGCGCTAATTCTAATTTAACATAAATGATTCTTGGCAATCATCAAAAATCCTGCCATTATTTGAATGAGAATAGTAGATTTGGCTGAAATTCTCGTAGTTTAAAAAGGTTGCTATTTTGAAGTTAAAAAACAAATTGATTGAAATAAAAAGGCGAAAAATTTTTTATTTCTAGCAATCACAGTAATCAATCATTCTGTTAATGACATTCAGCTATTGAAGACTTTTATGTGATTCTTATAATTTTAACTATTGCATAAGTAATTAAATATTACTCAAATTAATTGAGTTATTAAGAATTTTTCCATTTCATGAAATAAGAATTTATTAATTATCATTTGCAATTGTAGCCCTTTATACGTATTCAGAGTTGTAATTAACATTTTCTTACTTATTTAGCGATAGCTCTAACAAGTAAGTAATATTTGCCAAAGTTATTTTCCAACTTCTAATAATATATTTTACAGTATCGTTAAAATTTAATCATCTAAAATGAAATATTACATACACCTGCAACGACTTAATACCTGTATAAGTCAATATTTATTATTTAATTTTAATTTTCAGCGATAATAATCGCTGATACTTAACATTCATTATAATAGTTTTCTTTTTTTTATAAATCTAAAGAAGTAAAGTGTAGCAATTTCCATTTAAAATAACAAGAAACCTTATTTATAAAAACAACAAATAATGTACTTTCATTTAAATTAGTAACGAATAAAGCAATTTTAAGTTTTCAATTTATTTGTAAATATTGAATAAATCTCATTTCAGAGCTACTACCACAAAATTTTATTGTTGAAAATTTCACAATATTTTGCTTAATACAATTAGTAATATAATGATTAAATGAAAATGGTATTTTATTATGAATTTAGTTAATTAATTAATTCTGGGATTCTTATCAAAAATTATCACCTCATTCAGGTTTCATTTTTGCTTCAAATAATAAAAGTTGATTGTTATTAATAATACCAACATTATTAACTTTTATTATCTGACAAAATGTAATAATTTAAGAAGAATAAAAAAAAAAAATGAGAATTGTTTCAATTGGAAATAACAAGGATATTATCAATATTTATGATAAATAATGAAAAATAAGAATTCCATGAAATATTTTACTGAGGTATTGCTAACATTATCATTGCAACAATTAGCCTTATCACAAGCGCCAATTACATTATTCTATATGCTGCTAATATGCTAAATGTAAAAAGAGTTGAAATCTTTCGGCAACTATTAAAATAAAATTACCAATGCTTATTTTTGAATCAAATTTGTGCTTTTATATGAGTTACAATTTGAAATTAGAAAAACCGTTGAAAACGAAAAAAGACAATTCAGATTAGCATTTTTTTTTTTTAAATGTCTATCTTTAAATATGAAGAATAAGTAATTTATTCATGATTTATTCCAAACTTTTTTGTCAATACAATTAAATTGCTTTAATATACACTGTTCTAGATTCTTGAACTTATTAAGGTGATTAGAACAATTTCAGCATAAATTGATATTCCTATATCAAAAAAAAAAAAAAATTACGTGATACTTTAATTTGAATACTTCATTGATAATATGAACCAATTATCATTATCATTTTTTAGCTAAATGAACGACTGTCATCATCTTAACAACAGTAATAACTATTTCAATAGCATTGATAGTTCGTATTCGTTCGTTCCTGCATGTACAAGCCTAGGTTTCTCGTGTCGTAAGTTTCTAATGATAATCCATTTTCATCATTACTTATACTTCATTAATGAATTTTTAAGCAAATTATTCGAAAATTTTATTCGAGAATTTTCGTCAAGTAATGATTCAAATAAAAAAAAAAAACTAATTACTATCATATATTGATTATTCTTACTTTTATCAAGCAAATTTTATAAAAAAAAAAAATTTAATTTTAAAATTTATTAAATTTTATTGTTATAATATCATTGAATAATACATAAAAATGGAAAGATTTACTCATAGAAATACGTTTATTTAGCAAGATTGTATACTGTAAAACGCCTGATATCATATATTGCAACGATTGGTAACTTCATTGTTATTCCATTCATACTGTATTTAATAGTTGCAAAAGTGAAAGATGGATTTTTCAAACATTTCACATTGAATTTAATGATTACTTGTATAACATCAACTATTGCTGCTCTCATAATTGATATAATTAATGTTATGAAACTTTTTATTTCCATAACAGGAAATAATTCATATTTGTAAGTTTTGTTTTTTGATTCATCCAAATCGTTTTGTCTTTTTTTTTTTGGTTTTTTCCTTAAAATTATTACATCAATATGAAATAAGCAGACGTTGTACAAAAATGACGGTCGTATAAAGGATAAATTAGAAGTAATTTTCTCATATTAGCCTACACTTTTTCTTTTTTTTTTTTAATCAGATGAAATTTTTCTGCGATCAAAAAGTGTCAAGACTGTTAAAATAATCGATAATGATAAATTAGGATTAATGATTTGATAAAATAGTCATTGTATTTTTAGAGCTGAAATCTTAGCTTGGGCCCGATTTTACGTCAAATTTGGAAGTATTTGGTTCCATGCCTTAACACTGTATGCAGTTATAGTTTGTTACCTACCTTATATGAAACCTATTTTTTATTCAAAATATTTTGTAAACAGGTAAGCACCATGTTCCATTCTTTTATAATCTCTTATTTGTCATGATCTCGAAATATATATGTTGAAATGATGCTTTTGTATGGTTTCTGTCCCTTCATTTTTGAAACATTACATATATTTAAATATGATATGAAAATAATTTACCTGATATTTAGTTTCCTTAAATGTTATCGTATCTTTTAGACTTGAACGAAAGCCATTCTTTATCTATCCTTTTTTTTTTTTTTCATTTATTTTCAGGAGTCAGAAATCATATTACGTTGCATTACATATTTCAACAATCCTTTGGGGTAGCTTTATAACAATATTATTTAAAGAATATCTAATTCCTATACCGTATTTCCTAACTCATATCACATTGTTTATCGTATTATTCATTGCTGCTCTAATAGTAAGACTTTATAAAATTTGAATCTTTGCAAAATTCCGTAATCATTTGATAATCGTCTTGTCCGGAATTAGTTATTCCAGTACTAATTAATAATAAGTCAGTGCAGAAATATATATATATGATTTTCTTAAGCCAAGAACAGTTTCATCTTAACTATCAACTATGATATACTTCTGTTGGCATTTGTAATTGAATTTTATTTTATGATAAAAGATAACTTTAAATGAGTCATTTATTATTATAGGGATCGATTAAAATAGGTAGATATAAGATGATTGGCGTTGATTCGATCCGAGTTGCAAAAATGCAACAGAAACGTTTGTATTCATTTATTACATACAGTTATTCTATTGAAGTTATTACTTTTCCAATGTTTGGTATGTTTTTATCATTTGTTAATACAAATATCAATGTGATGTATTTCACTGAGATATAATCATTCGACTAAAGGTCTTTCTGAAGAGTTCTTTCAATTTCCTTCAAATTTGCAAACCAAAAGTAAGTGCATAAATTTGTTATCAGTACTGCGTTATCAGTAAGCCTGAGCAAAAATGGCGAGTTCGTAAAATTTTCATTTGTTATATTTACTCGACGGATATTTTTACTGAAAATTACTGGCACCAATACAAATATATTTTAGTTCACGCATGTATATATACTATTTGTATAATTGCCGATTGCGAATATTGTTTTCTCACGAGTAATTTTAAAGTCGTACTGAATTATATGATATACTTTCTTTATGAGGTAATAAATTCAGAAATCATTCGCTTATTTCATCATTGATTATCTTTTAATCATTTACAGTAAGAATTCATCTTTCTCAGTGAAATATTTCAGTGTCAATTAATTTCAGATGCGGACAATTAACATTATCATCATTACGATTCTTGCACTTGAGCCATATCGCAGTGCAACTTTTTCATTGTTATTTAAGCAAAAGTGGGCATCAGAAGTGATATCACTTGCAATTAAAAAAACAAGATATTAAATTAATTTTCACTAATATGATTTACCTATAAACTGCAATTAAGTGCAATTTTTATATAAACTGCAATTAATTATATAAACTGCAATTACGTACATATTACGCTGCTCTTTAGCTTTCACTTACTGAAGTATTGGGACTTCTCGAATGTAATCCTTGTAATATTTTTTTTTTGAAATGCATTGATCTTCGATAAATTACAAATAATACTGTTTGTAAGCCAATAATTTATGCTAAAATAGTACTTAATGTTTAAAGAATATAATGGAATTTTGTTGAGTGAAGGAGCAATTGTTATCATCAAATAAAAGAGGATGATATGACGAAATGTAATAAAGCAACTTGAAGGATTCCGGAATTGCGATGAAATTTGCTAAATATATAAAATGCTATCCATTTTGCATGCTGCATGCATTTAATATTTGCAGTAATTCGCAGAAAAGTCAACATAACATTTTTCAATTTTGAACAAAAAAAAAAAAAAGAAGAAAAACATAAATTCGTGGATTTTGCAATCAAAAAATTTTTTTCACAAAAATTTTTGCTAAAATATTTAACATGGAAAATATTTTTCGGCAATGATTGATCCAACCAACTGATATGAAAAAATTATTAGTGGCAATTATTAGTTATTGTATTTGAATTATGTCAACTATCAGTTATTGTATTTTATTCATTCCCTTTTACAATATTTGCTGATATAATTGGATTGATTGATAACATATCAATTGTAATGTATTTTTAATATTTTTATCATATTTTCCAATTTTCATATTTGTTACATTGGCACAGTACATTCGACTACCTTAATTTCGAAGAATAATATAGATTTTGAAATTTGGACTATAATGTGATAATTATTCAAAAAAAAAAAAGAAAAAAAAAGAAGTGAAATGTAAACGACGGGAAATTTAGGGAAATTTATTTGCTGTAATTATTATTCGGGAAGTCGAAATGGTTTTAGGATATAAAATACGTCGAAAAAATATTTCTATATGATAGAAGTACCCCAGAATAAAACTGAAATAGATTCATGAATTATACGAATTGATTATTATAAAGGTTGTTTTAATTAGAATATTCCTCAGAGGTAATGATAAATTCGGTTGTTACATTAGAAGATCATTGCAAAAATACGAACTATGTCATTATAACAAGGAACTTTGTCCACCTACAATCCAGACATTCCAGCCATGATTGAATGACAAATTGATGAGTATTTAAACATTGCATATTAATTTAATTATCAATACGAAAGGTGAAAGATGAAAATATTTACATTATTTTCATATTTCGACAACAAAGATTGGTGAAGGACCGTGTATTTCGGGTTATTGTAAATACTACAAATGTAGATAGGTGTTGTAGGAAAAGGTAATCTTTTGAATTCATTTTTTAGCAACATAGATTTATTCAGGATATAATATTGTTCTTGCATAATATTACTAGTTAACAATAAAAAGGGTGTCAAATATATGTATACGTATATATTACACCGTAAATTGATAAGCAGTGATAAATGAGTTATACAATAAGCAAGCAATGTGATTAATTAACAAATTCCTTGTCCTTGTCTTTGATAATAATTTGAGTGTTGATTAATTGATAAGTCGTTGAGTTGGAGATATACTACGGGGAATGTATTATTCAACGAATAGAAAGAATATCATAGTTTGTTGCCCAGTAGTGGCGAATATATGAAGATATCGTTGTTTGTGGTACAGTCGTGGAGGATATGCGAAGAGGATGTATTGTCTGTT